GCTTCTGCTCTTTCCCTGAGGGCTCTCCAGAGTTTAAAAAAAAAAAAAAAATGGAGGAAGTTCCCCAAAAGAAGGTTTAAATGATTGAGAATAGGAGCAAGAAGAACTTTGTCTGTCTTTCCCTCAAGTCCTATGATTAATAAAACCCAAGAAAGGCACTTTCTTTTAATTTATAACTTCACTTTATTGGAGAGCAAAGCATAGACTAATAAGGAATTAGGTGGAGTGGACTGCTTTTGTGTCTGGATATAGTTAGTGTAAAAGAAATTCAGCATGAAGAGCCTATTCCTAATGGCAAAACAATGCATTTGTTTATTAAGTAGCTAATTTTCAGGGCTTAATAATGTTAATTTGTGAGTCACCTTCTGGTAACCATATAACTGATAAAAAAAATGTAAAGGGTCCGATATAAATGAAAACATGCTCTATAAAAAATGCTCCAAAGCTTTGTTTAAAGACAAGGGCTCAGACTGTAGTTCACTGTAAAGTAGTGCTTAGCATGGGTAACGCCCTATGTTCGATCTCCACCACCACCAGAAAAGCCAAAACACAAACTAAACCCAGCAGTTAAACCTGATGTTTTGCTCCATAATGCATCCTTTCTGGCAGCGAAATCACTGTATGGTGCCAACACAAAAGCCTTGATTAGAATGTTCTGTTTTAGATCCTTTTTTTAAAAAATGAGCATTACCTTTTGTTTTACTGGACCTTATGAATCAGATCTGTCTTTAAACTTTCTCCATTCATTGGAAACTTGGTTGTCATGGCCACCAGAGTTCTGATGTGTGGCATTCACATTCAAACCATCACTGATAATACTCTCAGACTGGACAGGGTCTCTGTTGAGTGAGTTCATATTTGTGACAGCAGAGTCTGGGTCATAAGCTACCAGGTTCCCACACAATGCCTGGCAGATGTGCATCTGTATAGAAGCTGAGGGCTGAAGCTTGAATTTCACCTATACAACTGTGCAGAAAGTGATGCGTTTTTCTGGGACTAACTGAAATTGTCTCTAGGAATTTCCCCTTCTTTGTGCATCATCAGGGGTTTTTCAGATACTACCTGACAAACTCAGCTCAGTCAGCCTTGCTTCACTCAGAGGCAAAAGCTTTGCCTTATCTCTAAATAAAATAAATGGAAGACAACCACTCCAAGAAGGAAATTAGAGATTTAGGACACCCTGGGCTATGACAACAAGAGTATAGTAGGGGACAGGAAGGGCATAAGACAATGAGACCTAAAATACCCTAAAACTAACAGAGCTGTGCTTTTAAAAGCTTGTCATCTGAAACTAATGGGGGATTGAAGGAGAGCATTAGTTTGGCATTCCAAAATCCTAGTGTTTTTTTTTTTTTTTTTTTTAAAAAGGTACACATGCTCAGAAAAAAAATAACAGAAACTAAAACTACAATAAAATTTAATCTTAAACACTTAAACATGACCCTTTCTCACAAATTTCACATCTGTCCTGGATTTCTCTCTGCGGAGGTGGCTCTGAAAAAGAATCAACAGAGATGTAAACACCAAAGGAAAGAATAACACCTTCTTGATTAAGTTTAGGCCCATTAGTCTGACTTGGTTTCACTTATTTAAATATAGCATGGTGAAGTCACTTTGGAATGTCTGCAACCAATCATTTTCCCCAGTTAGGAACAAAGCTAGGAATGGGAATAAGAATTCAAAACAACCAAAAGTCATTAAAAATAAGGTAGCCCAAGAGTCATTGGGTTTTACAAGAAGCTACTGAGTCAGAGAATAATTTTCCTATCCATTCCTTTCTCATGATGTCTTTGCTCTTACCCTTATCCTTTTATCTTCTTTCTGGAAGGAGTGCAGGGGTGTGGTAGGTGAGAAAGCCTTGAACCTGAGGAAGAGGAACTGAGGGGAACTGCCTGAGGCCCAGACATAGCACTGATACAAGCTGCATAAATCTGAATTTAAATTCTTTAGGAGTGAAGAGAGAGGATAGATAATGTCCTTTGTGTGCCTTTGCCAAGGCTGCCATAACTAAGTACCACCAACTAGGAAGTTTAAGCGACCATATTCTCAGGGTTTTGGGTGAGACCAAGCTGTGGGCTGGGTTGATTTCTCCTGAGGTGTGTCTTCTTGACTATGGAGAGCCACTTTCTTCTTAGGTCTTTGAATGGTCTTCCCTCTCTGTGTGCCTATGTCTTAATCTCCTGTTCTTATAAAGACACCAATCACATTGGGTTAGGGACCACCCGCATGACCTCTTTGTACACATCTACCTTTTAAAAGACCCTATCCCTGAATATAGTCATATTATGAAGTACTAGGGGTTAGGACTTCAACGTACAAAGTTTGGAGAGGTCACAGTTCAGCCCCCAACAGTTGAGTTTTCACTTCTTCTAAAGATGGGACCTTTCAGACTGTGGTCCCTGAAACTCTTCTTTAGCCCTGTGAGAATGCCTAGACTGTCTTTTTAAAGATACCAACACCTCCACCTTACTTTGTCATCAAGACTAATCTCATATGTTGGCTATGTTCTTTCAGGTTACAGGAAACAGAATTGTACATGGATTATTTAAATTTATTTGGTGTTTTGTATTTTCATAAGGATACAAAGGGAAGTAAGGAAGACAGCATATCAACCACCTCCAGGAAAGCTTTCTAAAGTATTGAATGTTGTTCAAGTTATCATGAAGCTCTGAGGATCTGGTCATCGTTTTTGGAAAGAAATTCATTGTTCTTCGCTCTGAGTGACTTCAGGTGACAATGTGATCTTCCCTTTTTGTCTACCTCTACTGCTCCTGCAGACTTTCTTCCTTGATGTCCTTTCGAATTTCTCAACTCAAATTTCTTCTTCCTGTGATCTATCTTAAAATTTTAAGTGAAGGACTCTCACTTCCTCTATCATATTTCTTCTAGAATGATAATTATCTGTACATGCTCATGGAGCCCCTGTAAACACACTGTTAGTAGCCAAAATATGCTCTTAAACAAACATGTTATAGGAGATTGCCCCCGCCGTCTTTTACTATTTCTGCAAATTGTACATTTGAACAAAATTTCAGCCTTGTTCAAATACTACAGTGTAACTACTACCAATACTGTGATATTTTAATAGAAGATGGCTTCCAGGATGATCAATGATCATGACTAGATCTTGGATTCATAAAGTGTGGCTATGCATTCTGAGAAAGATGATGGAGGAGAGGCTTAGGAATAGCCCTACTCTTGTCTGGGAGGATGGCACACAGTGAGAGACAGCACTGGCTGACAGGTGAAAGCCAGAAACATCATGAGGCTGTTCTCTTCTTTATCCAAGGGTATCTTCTGGTGATAAAAGGCTCAGAGAGGATGTTGGGGGCCCACTGTCAGAATGAAACATCCAACAAGAGAGCAGAATTGCAATAGGAACTTCTAGTGAACAATGTACAGAAGGCCAGGCAAGTGAACCTTATATACAGAGTCCCTGTCACTGACATAATTCAGTCCCTAAAGAAGAGTTTAGTGAAAGGGGGGAGCAGATACATGGTGAGATAGATATTTGGAGCAGATGTCAAGGCTGAAGCCCAGACTATGGCACTAAGGGTAATCCCTGAGGTATAACTGTGGTCCACAGAGAGTCGTTACAGAATACTCATCTTCTTGATGCTTGGTGAAGTCACGCAACCTCTCTTGGGTCTCCCTGTCCTCATCTTATAATTAAGATGGTAAATGTGCTTGATGTGAAGATCAAAGGAGCACCATAGCCAAAAACACTCAGTAGATGGCAGCTATTAATGCGAAGGGAGAATCCTCCAGTCAAACTGTAGTAAGAGCATTTCAGGATACAGCACAGTAGCCAGTAATCAGGGTCAGAGATTAGGAGTTCTGGAATAGGTATAATCCTTCCCTCCGTTTTGTTGCTTCTCTTGGCACATTGTTCTACACAGAAGTAGAGATGGTTCCTGCTGGAATAGCATACACAACAGACAGGTTTCCTGGTTATAAAGAAATTCACTTGGGATCTTTGTGTTTGATGTAAGCACATTAGTACTTGGTCAGCATTCACATATGGTCTAGCAAAGCCTCTCCCAATATTGCCTTTTAATTACAACCACAGAAGACAGATTCTTCTAGAAAATGCCAGCAAGTTTAGTTTTTCCTCCTCCTGCTATTGCTGCTCCTGGGAGTTTGAATTTCCAAGCAGCAGGGAAGAAATACTAATGAATACTCCCCTATCAGATCCAGGCCTTTCACAACAATAGAGTTGTAAAAGGCCATCCAAACAGGTTTAATGAAGAAGAGATAGACTTATGTCCAGCTTGGTTGCTTTGTTGAAAGCCCAGTTTAGCTTGGAGGGCAGTTAAGGTGAAGTGGGAAAGAACATGAAAAAAAGGGGAGCAGGCAAAGAAAAGCTGACAGCAGTACCCTCGGGTAAACTGTCTGCTTTCAGGTGGCTAATGTTTTATCCAGTTCATTAGCACCCTCTGTTATGTCAAAAAACATTCTGTGTATGATGAAATAATTTTGCAAGTTGCTATTTTGCAAATTTACAAGAAAAGGGCATAGCTCAGAGGGCAGAGTGGAAATGTGGATGTGCAGAAAGAGATGGGGTTGGCCTGTCCCTGAGGACACTCTGACATTTGCCAGCAGAGAAGGAGAGTTTTACAATATGCTGCTCTGTTCTAGAAAGAGGTAGTGCTTGGACAATGCCTCTGCTTTGGCCACCCTTCCCAACCTCAGCAAGTTGCCCCTACCCCGCAAGGGCTGTCACACTGAGGAATTCCATCCAGTGGCTCCATGCCTTGGAAACATGTCCATTTGAAGAAATACCAGCCTGCTTCAAGATTCTAAATCCTGCCTTTATCCACTCCCTATAAAAGTATAGCAAAAATAGAGGTAATTATTCAGAGCTGTTCACCTATGGAAACAAAGTGCCAATGTGCTGTGTGCACATCTTAAAGTCAGTTGTGTTGAGGCATCGTTAGGGGAAAGGAGAGGCCATATAGGGTGAGCTCACTCTGGGGTTTTCATTTGCCTGAGGAATGAGTGGCTTACGTGTGGCCATTGTCAGTGGGAGACCCGGCCAAGTGTTCTCTAAAGAGTGCCGTGGGCTTGTCACCATGGCTACTTCAGAACCACAAGCCAGTTTCTGGGAACCAAGAGAGCATGTGTATGATACTTCCTGGGAATTTCCAGAACTAGCTGGGAGGGACTGGAGATATTCTGAAGCACTCATTGTCCACAATTTGTGGTTAAGCCACAGAGAACAGCCTTTGCTACTACGAGCATGTCATAGAGAAAGATGTTATGGGTACACATTATGAGCATAAAGTGACCACACATTGCCATACTTCAACATGGAAATCGGTCTCATCTCTTACAGACACATTAGGCAGAAACCTGACTACTGATTGCTATACCTTTGTGCTTGGCTGTGTTTTGTTTTAATGTAACGTGAGATAGACAGGCTTTGGTACTGATCAGTTCTCCCCACTTCACCCCCAACCCGGTTCACCCCGTGGCTCATTGTCAAGGTGAGAGGTTGGCTGGGGTAGGACTGGCTCAAAGCTATAGGACACCCTCTAACAATCAACTCTTCAGAGTCTGAGCTGCCTCCAGCTCCTTCCCTTCTTTGATTTACACTCTTTCAGGCTGCAAAGTCTTGATCTTACAGTGTGACCCTCTAATCAGATAAGCTTACTACAGAACCTTCTTTATTCTCAGGGTCACTGGTGTATAAAAGGCCCCACTCCTTCGACCATCTCAGGGTAGCAACGGCCTTCAAGAGTCACATAGAAGTTGGCCGACTGTCGCCATAGCGCAGGTTGACAACCTTCTCAGGTTACTGTGCTTAACAGGCAAAGCCTGCTTTGAATTTCTCAGAGAAGCAGGAGACTTGCAGTGTCATCGGTTCATGCAATTCATTCATTGTGATTTGGTCCCCAGATTTCCTGCCATTGGAATCAGAGCTCATTTTCATAGTCAGTGGACCATTGAAGCCTTGTATACACAAAACAATAAAGTAGAAAAAATGGAAATTAAAAAACAACTTCCGCTAAAATTATACAAATGTTATCTGGGGTCCTATTAATATCAATATCAAAATCAATATAATATAGAGGCGTAATATACAATAAAATGTAATATGAACTGTAAGTATCAGGAGATTTCATCTTCCTGTGAGCAGCTAGGCGCAGCACAGACTGCATCTGCCATGTTTCAAGGCAGGGAAGATATTAGGAACAGCGTCTTTTAGAAATTATAGGTTTGCAAATCCCTTCTCTTTCAGGGATTAAAGAAAATATAACCTGCTCTGGAGTATTTATAATGAAAAAAAGTGGGATTTTCTTGTCTTTTGTCTGCACACCTAGCCTGGGGCAGAGTCATTCACCAAAGTCAGTCGTGTGCTGTAGAATCTGTTTACAGAGCATTCTCTTAAACATCTTCCTTGTATGTGCTAGCATCTTGGTTTTGCAGCCTTTTTTGTTTTGTCAAACTCCCCTTCTGAAAGGGACAGATAAATTAGGAGCAGGCGCCACCTGGTGTTTTGATAAGGAACTGTACCTTCAAAGGCCTGTTCTCCGTTGGATGGGTAGTTTCGCCCTCTAGTGCATGGGAACACGCTAAGCGTCTTAATTAAGTACTAGTTACTAGTGAAATTACTAAGTTTAAAATGCTATCAACCTACAACAGTAATTTTTTTTTTTTTTTTTGGTACCGGGGATTGAACTCGGGTCCGTGAGCTTGCAAGGCGGGCCACCGAACCACTGAGCTAAATCCCCGGCCCTAGTAATTTAAAAGACTAATGTTCTAATATCTAAAGTTCTAAAACTGCCTCCCAAAAGAGACCTATTTATGCATTTGCCAAGCATTTCCTAAGGACTGTGTGTGTATTATTATTTTAGTGTCTACTACTGTGAAACAAATCACCCCTGAACATAGACTGAAACTACAGTCATTCATTATCTCCAGTGGTTTCTGTGGGCCAGCGAACCTGGAGCGGTTTAGTTGGGCGGTTCTGGCAGATGGTGTCTGCGGCCATCTCAGAGCTTCGTTTGTTCCCGTGTCCGGTAGTTGAGCTGGGAATACCAGAGAACGTCGGGTATGACCCCCTTTCATGAGCCACTTTGTAGTCTCTCCAGTGTGGTCATACTTTTCCCCCAGTGGTTCAGTGCATGGAGGCGGTGTCCTGACAGAGCCAGGAGGAAGCTGTATTGCTCCTTAGGACCTCAAGACTTTGGGGTCACGAAGTATCTTTCACTGTGTTCTGTTGATAGAAGCAGTCATGGAGATCACCCAGGTTCGTGGACAGAGAACACAACCTCACTCTTCAATACAGAAACGTCAGTGACTTGTGGGAAGAAAATGTGGGATGGGATATTTGTAAAAATATAACCAGCCACAATTTTATTTAATTCTCCCCAGACTATGGAAACTTTCTACTGTCATTATCTCAATTTTACATGTAAGTTAGTGAAAAGTCAAGAAATACTCAAATTCTTTCCACATTAAAACATTGTTCAGTAAGCTATCTAAAGTGTTATCTGTACATGGTTTTCAGTCTTGATGCTATTGGCATTGTGGATTGGGTTTCTCCTTTGTCGCAAAGGCCTTCTCTGGCCACTGTAAACTGGTTAGCAGGATTCCTGGTGTCTAGCTACCAGATTCCAGTAGCCCATACTGTACTTAGCCACCATGACAAAACACCTGAGACAACCAATTTATAAGGGGGAAAGGTTTACTTTGGCTCGTGGTGCCAGAAGTTTCCGTCCATGCTATTTGTCTCTGCTGCACTGGGTCAGTTGCAGCACAGTACATTATAACAGGCGTGTGTGGCAGAGGATGTGTGTCCACCTCACGGCCACCAGGAAGCAAAAACAGGGTAGTCAGTGTTCCTGTAGCCCCTCCAAGGACAGCACCCTAATGGCCTAAGTTGAGAACCAGTTTTAGAACATAGCTTTGATTGTTAGCTACTGATTAGGAGGAGACTCTGTAAAACTAATGCATGTTGAAGGTCCATACTTTATTTCTTGTAATTATAGAAAATATAATTTATATAATTACAGTTATCTTATAGAGTATCATTTCAGTCTAATTTCCAACCTTATTCCACCATTAATTTTATAAATAGTATTTCCTCCTCTCCCTCATGGGACTCCACTGCCAGACAGCCTTCACTTCAGAGCTCCTTGCCAGGCTGACTGAGACTTCTGCAGGGCAGCTTGCAGTCCAGACTTCCTTAACTGTCCTTTTTCCCTCTCTCTCACCTTTCATGTATTATGGGCTACATCTTGTACAGAACCCTTCAGGCGCCCTACCAGTGGCACTGGCAGCAAGGATGTTGTCCAATCATTGGGCTGGTAGAATTCTCGGAAGTGGTCTGAATTGCCTCCAGAACTCAAAGAAGCCTACCAGGCTCTGTGTTTCCTCTTTTGTTTCAGAGAGGATTTTGTGATATGAAGTTGACCATTAGATCCCTTGAAAGCTTTGCTGATGAGGCAGGTCATTGGTTTTCACAGAGTTTATCATCTCCTTTCTGGAGCACAGGTGCTTGACTAGTACCTCAAGTACACCAGTCACCTCTAGCTTCTAGACCGTGACCATGTCATTGATGTGGTGGATGAGTTTGATGGTCAGTGGCTTAAGGGAATCTGGTCACTTCAGGCTTTTTTATAACAGAGGGTAGCTGAGTTAACACAGCCCTGAGGAAAAATAGGTAAGTGGATATTGTAGTCTGTCTCACATGACTGCAAACTGTTCCTGATCTTTTAAAAAATCTGGATAGAAAAAGTCACATCCGCCAAATCGATGACACACACCATGTACCCAAGGCCTTATGAATATGCTTTATCCATGGTAGCTACAATCATGGGGATTTCTACTGGCTGAAGTTGTAGTAATCTATTGTCATTCTCTAGGGTCCACCCAGTTCCTGCAGAGAAACACTGGCCACACAAAGGAGAGATGGCAGAGACTACTAATCTTGTTTTGCACTTATTATCTTGGCAGAAGACCAGTGTCAGCTTTGATTTGACCATCTTCACATGGTCCTTACAGACCAGGGAGAAATATGGGGGTGACTCCAAATGACACTACCAAATATATGTTTGCATTGTACATGGAAATGGGAGAAGCGCCCCTGCATGAGTTCACAGATTTAGTGGCCAGGGCTCCACTTATGGGCTTGACTCCTGTAAGCCCCCACTCCAAAAAGAGGTCCATGACGATTTTGGTCTTCGGGAATCAAAGTGAATTAGAGCCTGTGTACAAAAGTCTGAGTTCCCCCTTCTTCTAATGTATAGTTATTCAAGTGAATGGGCATAGGTCCCTTTAGGAAAGGATGGGTCAAATCATCACAGTATATACTTGTGGTACTTCAGCGGCTTATTGAGGGTCTGGCTATCTCTTCAGCCAGTGGACCTCAGATCCAAAAATTGGTTCAGGTCTAGGAACTAACTGAAGGATCATAGCTGTTCAATGGGGCAACTATTAGCTTTCTGCTCCTACGTTCTTACCTTTTCTGGTTGCGATGCTAAGCATTATCGTTTTTGTCGCTTTTCCATTCTGTTCTTTGATGTGTCAGACTTTGTTATACACCTCTCCAACTTCTTGAAGGTCAACCTATCTTTGATACCATTCTGACCTTCCTGGTTGTTACAGTGATTTTGGTGGTTACATGCTGCTACCTGGTCTCTTATCTGGGACCTCCCTGTCCTCATGAATTCTCTTGACTTACTTCTGTGACAGCAACTGTAGACAAGGCCACCAGAGACATCATCCTGATGTCTCGTTGAAAGATCCTTCAGAGAACACATTTCTTCAGTGGGTGTTCTGGCCTCACATATTGATTCTAGTACATCTCATTTCTTTATCCCTTCTGTCACCATCTGTCGAGGAAACTTGGACATTTTCACGCAGTCATTGGCTGAGAGTAGCTGTTAGGAACGGTGGCTTGAGTAGGAAGGTGGTGGTGCATCCCAAGGGGGTAGCTGCTGGCCGTAAGTCAGTTATGCTTTGTGACGTAGCAGGCCCATGTGGCACATTTTGTGACTGCCACATAAGTAAAAGTATGATATACTTGAAGAAGAACCATCCCTGTAGGAACATTTTTTGGCAAAGTCACTAAAATACAGACTTTCTAAGCACCTTCATTTAAATAAAAGTAAAAAAGAGCTAAGGTTTATTGAGCATTTATTATATGCTATGCATTCTATTAAGCACAAGATGTTGCATTATCTCATTTTAAAGTTATTATTATTCTTCTAATTTTACAGATGTACAAATGAAATAAAAGATAACTAAGGAAACTGCCCAAAACCAAAACTTAAGCAGAAGAGAAAGGATTGGAACTAGATCTGACTAAATCCACAGATCAGAAATTCTTGCATTTATTACATTAATGGAGTTTGGTTTCCAGCATAGAGATTTTTAAAATATCTAGACTAAATCTCTCTTCTTTGATATTATTATAAATAGCACCACTTTAAAATTCCATTTCCAATTGTTCTTTGCTAGTGTGTAGATAAACAATAGATTTTTGTATATTGATCTTGTATCCTGAGATGTTGCTGTATCAAAATTTTTATAAATTTTGTAGGATTTTCTGTGTAGCCAGTGTCATTTGTAAATAGAAACAGTTCTATTCCTTCTTCCCAATGTATATGCCAATTTCTTTTTCTTGCCTTATTAAACTAGCTAAAAACTCTGGTATAATGCTGGTTAGGAATGTTAAAAGTACACATCCTGATTCTTTCAACTTTAGAATTAAAGCTTTCAATATTTGACCATGAAGTGTGATAGCTTTAGCTGTGTTATAGATGTGCTATTCTTTTCTTAGATTTTAGAATATTTATTCTTTTTATTTTATTTTACTTTTTATTTTTTGATACCAGGGATCAAACTCAGGTCCTTGTGCTTGAGAGGCAGGCGGCAGAACCACTGAGCTAGATCCCCAGCCCCTTAATTCTTCTTTTTAAACTCATAGTCAGTATTCAATTTTGCCAAAATTTTTTATCTATTGAGACAATCATATTATTTTGTTCTTTGCTTAAATATTGGATTATGTTGATTGATTTTTCTAATATTCCAGCCTTATATTGCTAGTAAACATCTTATTTGGCTATCATATTTTTCATTTCACATATTGAAGGAGTAGGTGTTTGTTTAGAATTTTGGAGTTTTCCTTATGAGGAATATTGGTCTGTATTTTTTACTTCCTTGTAGTGTGTCTGATTTTGTTAGAGGATAAAGCTAGCTTAAAAAAGGGCAATGAGCTATTTTCTGGAAGAGTTTATGTAGGATTTGTAATATATCTTCCTTAATTTAGTAGAATTTATCGGTCAAGACTTTTGAACGTGGAGTTTCCTGCATGAAATGGTTTGTACTACAAACTTGGTTTATTTAAGAAATATAGGACTAAGTTCTCTATTTTTTTTCTTGAAGGAACCTTGGTAGTCTGTGTCTTTTAAGAAATTTGTCTCTTTCATTTACCCAATGTATTTGTATAAAGTTGTTCATAACAGTCACCTTAATGTATTGTACTTCTAGTGTCTCTGAGGTCTGTAATGATGTCTTTCTTTTATTTCTGATATTTACAATTTATGTCTTCTATTTTTTTAATCCTAATCACTCTGGTTAAAAGCTTGTCTTATGTTTTCTTTATTTTCTTTCTTTCTTTCATATCAGTAGATACATTTTTATTTTTTATTTATTTTTTCCATTATTTTATGTTTTCTTTAAAACCAACTTTGGTTTCATTAATTTTTCTCTATTTTTTATTTTTTTCTATTTGACTCTTTATTATTCTTTTACTTACTATGAATTCAAATAAAGGTGAAAATTGAGGTCAGTGAAACCAGAGCTTTCTTCTTTTGTAGTGAAGTTGTCTATGGCTACTAATTTTTCAAGCACTACATCAACTATGTCTCACAAATGTTTAAAATTAATATCAACTTAATGCCGTTTTTCATTTTAATTAAATTTAAAGCATTTTCTAATTTCATTTTGACTTTTAAAAAATTCACGCTATTTGAAATTGTGTTGCTTACTTTCCAAATTCTTTGGGATATTTCCAGATATTCTTTCATTGTTGATTTCTAATTTAATTCTGTTGTAATCAGAGAGACCTTTTATGTGATTTAATTCTGTTCAGATTTGCTGAGGTTTGTTCTACAGCCAAGAGTATAATTGTTCTCTGTGAATGTTGGGTGTGCATTTGAAAATAATGCATATTTGACTATTACTGGGTTGAATGTTATGTGTTTCTTAGGTCAAGCTGTTTAACAATGTGGTCAACATTGTCTGTACCCTCATTTTCTCTCCATTTGATTTATTCCTGAGAGAAGAGCATAAAAGTCTTTAACTGTAATTATTAATGTATTTTTCTCTCAGCTGTAGTAGCAGTTTTGTCTTTGTGCATCTTGAAGCTCTGTTGTTAGTTCTATATGTATTTATGCTTTCTATCTTTTCATGAATTTATCCCAAGTCCCCCATTATATATTGTCCCCTTTTATTATGTTAACATATTTCTACTTTAATATTTATAGAGGGGTTATTTTGTGGACAGCAGATAGTGACATTGCTTTTTATTTTTAACTCCAGGAAAGAGCAAGAGCACATGATCTCCAACAGCCCCAACTCCACCATGGGTTTTCCCACAACTAGAAAATCACAGGAGTTGGCACAGGTGCAGCACAGTGGACAAGGCTTGCTTTAAAAAATCACCTTGCTGGTCATGGTCTCTCCCCAACAAGTAAGTGCTGATCTTACTTTCTAAAAGAAAAGTTTGTAATGTGGTAATCCAATGTTATTGGTGATACGGTGTGACTTAAATCCACTATCATACTATTTGTCATATATTTATTCTATTTAGTTTTATCCTTCTGTTTTTTCATTAGTGAAATATTGTTATGATTTCATTTTATCTCTACTATTGCTTATTTTAAATATCTCCATTACAACTTGTTTTTCTTAAGTTTTGGGGATTGAACCAAGGCCTTTCTACTGAGCTACATCTTCAGACCTATTTATTTATTTATTTTTCATTTTGAGACAGGGTATCCCTAAGTCACTAAGATGCCCAGACTAGCTTGAATTTGCAACCCTGCTGTCTTGGCCTCTCAGAGTGCTGGTATTACAGGCATGTGCCGTCAGGCCTTAGGTTCTCTTGTAACTTTTTAATGGATACCCTGGGCATATTAATTTATATGTTTAAGTATTCACTATACCTTCAAATTACTTCACATGCTATTTAATCTCACACTTCATAACCATATACTCCCAAGTCCCCCTTCCTATCTTTTGAGATGTTTTCATAAATTTTAATTTCAAATACTGTATACAATATACTTGGCAAATACATATTACTTGGCTACTACTTTTGTTTTCATCATCCAATGATTTTTTTTTCAGCTTTAATTGAATTTATTGGTACATTTTAGGGATACAGTACAGTTACATTCAAGTCCCCCTTTATCTTTTGAGATGTTTTCATAAATTTTAATTTCAAATACTGTATACAATATACTTGGCAAATACATATTACTTGGCTACTACTTTTGTTTTCATCATCCAATGATTTTTTTTTCAGCTTTAATTGAATTTTTAGGTACATTTTAGGGATACAGTACAGTTACATTCATTGTTGGGATCTTGTACCTCTACATGACAAGTCTTGATTCTCATTTTTTCCCCTGACCTCTGCCCTCCCTTCACCCCCTCCTCCCCTCCCCATCTACAAACACTTTATTTTCATCTTTTCATTCTCTCACATTTTTTTCTTTTCCCTTTTTACTCTTCCCCTACCCATCTCACCTTCCCTACACCTTTAGCTCCTTTCTTCCCATTTCTAAATGTCAGTAATCTTATTAGAATCTTATGCATTGTTGCAGATTGTTTACACCAGGGAAACTATTTGGTATTTACACATGTGGGACTTATTTATTTCACTTAGGAGTATATCTTCAATATGTATCCATTTTCCTATGAATGAATCTATTTTCTCGTTCTTTATGGCTGAGTAATATTCCATTTTGTAGAAAAACCACAACTTCTTTATCCAGTTTCTTTCGGATGGGCAAATAGGCTGTTTCCAAGATTTAGCTATTACAAACTGTGCCACTATAAACATGGGTGCACATACTTCTCTGTGATATGATTCTTTTAGTTCTTTTGGAAAGATACCCAGCAGAGGGATGGCTGGGTCAAATGGAACCTCCAGTCCAAGCTCTTTGAGGTATCTCCATATTGATTTCCATAGTGGTTGCACTAGTCTGCACTCCCACCAACAATGGAGGAGGGTTCCTTTCTCCCCACAACCCCGCCAACATTTGTTATTGTGTGATTTCTTGATAGCAGCCATTCTTTGTGGGGTGAGGTGGAATCTCAGTGTTGTTTTCATCTGCATCTCTCGAATGACCAGTGATGTGGAACATTTTTTCATATATTTTCTTGCTGCTTTTACTTCTTTGTATGAGAAATGTCTGTTCATTTCGGATGCCCATTTTTGGATCGGGTCTTTATATTTGGGGGGACTGATTGTTTTGAGTTCTTTATATATCCTTGATAATAGTCCTTTGTCTGAGGTACAGCTGGTAAAAATTTTTTCCCACATTGTAGATTGTCTCTTAGTTCTGCTAATGGTTTCTTTTGAAGTACAGAAGCTTTTTAGTAAGATGAGATCCCAGTTGTTGATTCTTTCTGCTAGTTCCCGTGCTACTGAGGATTTGTTCATAAAGTCTTTTCCTATACCAATGTCTTCCAGAGTTCTGCCTAACTTACTTTCCAGCAAGTTTAATGTTTCTGTTTTAATATTTAGATCTTTAATCCATTTGGATTTTAATTTAGTGCATGGCGAAAGATAAGGGTCTAATTTTAATCTGTGGCAGGTTGATATCCAGTTTTTCCAACACCATTTATTAAAGAGGCTATCTTTCCTCCACTGAGGATGGTGAGCTCCTTTGTCGAAGATGAGGTAGCTGAGTACATCTGCATTTGTTTTTGTGTCTTCCAGTCTGTTCCATTGATCCTCAGGCCTATTTCTTTGCCAGTACCATGCTGATTTTATCACAGTGGCTTTGTAGTATAGTTTCAAATTGGGAATTGTTACACCTGGTGCCATGTGACTGTTGCCTATAATGGCTTTTGCTATTCTAGGTCTCTTGTGGTTCCAAATGAATTTTTGGATTCTTTTTTCTAGTTCTGTGAAATATAGTGTTGGAATTTCAATTGGCATTGCATTGAATGTATATAGCAGTTTCGGTAGTATGGCCATTTTCACTATGTTGATTCTTCCTACCCAGGAGCAGGGGATATCTTTCCATTTTTTTATATCCTCTTCGATTTCTTTTTTCAGAGTGCTGTAGTTTTCAGTGTAGAGATCTTTTGTTTCTTTTGTTAGATTGATTCCTAGATACTTCATTTTTTTGGATGCTATTGTAAAAGGAATTTTTTCCCTTATTTCTCTTTCTGTCTGTCTGTTATTTGTGTATAGAAAGGCTATTGATTTTTGGGTATTCACCTTGTATCCAGATACTTTACTGAATCTGTCAATTAAGTCTAGAAGTTTTTTGGTGGAGTTTTTTGGATCTTCAATGTAGAGTATCATATCATCAGCAAATAATGATAGTTTAACTTCTTCCTTTCCTATCTTTATTGCTTTAATTTCTTTCTCTTGTCTAATTGCTGTGGCTAATGTTTCCAGAACTATATTGAAGAGAAGTGGCGATAGTGGGCATCCTTGTCTTGTTCCTGATTTTAACATGAAGGTTTTCAGTTTTTGGCCATTCAATATGATGTTGGCTGATGGTTTTTCATAAATAGCCTTTATTAAATTGAGGTATAGACCATCTATTCCAATTTTTTGCAGGGTTTTTATCATGAATGGGTGTTGAATTTTATCAAATGCTTTTTCTGCATCTATTGAGAGGATCATATGGTTTTTGTCCTTGACTTTGTTAATATAATGTATTACATTCACTGACTTTCGTATGTTGAACCACCCTTGCATCTCTGGAATAAATCCGACTTGGTCATGATGGATGATCTTCTTAATAATCCTCTGTATTCTGTTTGCTAGTATCTTATTAAGGATTTTTGCATCTATATTCATTAAGGAGATTGGTCTGTAGTTCTCCTTTTTGGTTGTATCTTTCTCTGGTTTGGGAATCAGAGTGATACTTGCTTCCAGGAATGAATTTGGAAGTATAGCTTCTCTTTCAATTTCATTGAAAAGTTTGAAGAGTAATGGTAGTAGTTCTTCTCTAAATGTCTTGTAAAATTCAGCAGTGAATCCATCAGGGCCTGGGCTTTTCTTTGTTGGTAAGTTTTTAATTACATTTTCAATTTCACTGATTGTGATTGGGGTGTTTAAAATGTTTTTATCTTCTTCGTTCAACTTTGGTAATTCATAAGTATCTAGAAATCTGTCCATTTCTTCTGTGTTTTCCATTTTATTAGAGTACAGGTTCTCAAAGTAGGTGTTCATGATCCTCTGGATTTCTTTCGGATCTGTTGTGACTTCGCCTTTTTCATTCCTAATTGCATGGATCTGAGCCTTTTCTTTCCTTTTTTTGATAAGATTAGCTAAGGGTTTGTCAATTTTATTTATTCTTTCAAAAAACCAGCTCTTTGTTTCATTTATTTTTTGTATCGTTTTCTTAATTTCAATTGCATTGATTTCTGCTCGGATCTTTATAATTTCCTCTCTTGTTCGAGCTTTGGGTTTTTCTTGCTCTTGTTTTTCTAGGAGTCTAAGTTTCATCGTTAAGTTGTTTATTTGAGCCCGCTCTGTTTTCCTAGTGTGGGCATTCAATGTTATGAATTTTCCACGTAGAACTGCTTTCATTGTGTCCCAAAGATTCCTGTATGTTGTATTGGCATTCTCATTTATTTGTAAAAACTGTCTAATTTCTTCTTTAATTTCCTCTGTAATCCATTGATTGTTTAGGAGAGTGTTGTTCAGTTTCCATGTGCTTGTGAAGTTTCTATAGTTTCTTGTGCTATTGATGTCTAGTTTGATTGCACTATGATCTGATAATAAACAGGGGATGACTTCAATTTTTTTGCATTTATTTAGACCTGTTTTGTGAGCCAGTATGTGGTCTATTTTGGAGAATGATCCATGTGCAGCCGAAAAGAATGTATATTCTGGTTTTTGGGGGTGGAATACTCTATAAACATCTATTAAGTCCATGTGTTCCAAAGCTTGGTTCAGTTCTATTATTTCATTGTTGATTTTCTGCCTAGTAGATCTGTCAATTTGTGATAGTGGGGTATTTAAATCCCCCACTACAATTGTATTAGTGCTTATTTGGTTTTTCATGTTACTTAATATTTGTTTTATATAGTTGGGGGCATTTATATTTGGTGCATATATGTTTATGATTGTCAGCTCTTCCTCTTGAATTGTTCCCTTTACAAGGATGTAGTGTCCTTCTTTGTCTCTCTTAATGAGTTTTGGTTTGAAATTTACTTTATCTGAGAATAAGATTGCTACCCCTGCTTTTTTCTGGACTCCTGACGCATGGAGAATTGTTTTCCATCCTTTCACTTTCAGTCTATGGACTTCCTTTTGCACTAGGTGTGTTTCTTGTATACAACATATTGTTGGATTTTGCTTCTTAATCCATTCTGCCAATCTGTTTCTCTTGATTGGTGAATTGAGGCCATTAACATTGATGGTTACAACTGATATATTTTGACTTATTCTTGTCATGTTTTTGTCCATTTGTTGACTCTTTTTACTTTTTCTCC